CTCTCTCTCTCTCACACACACACACACACCCACCCACACACCCTTCTAGTTTTGAAAGCTGCCTTGAGAGCCCTGGTTCATGATCAATGATGCCATTATTCATGAAGCCTGGCGAATAGGTCGGCTCCATGAAGTAACTGCCTGCCCGGCTCCGTTTCCGCTACTCCCACGAGAGAATGAGCCCTGTCTCAGTGCTTCCACTTGCCACTAAGAAGGAATTTAAGTTTGGTTTGGTTTTTAGAGTGTATGTTTTTCCCCTTTAATGAGAAGGAAAAAAAGGAAATCTAATTATCACAGAAACCAATGAACTATTCTAACAGTAGCATATTATGAGACAAAAAAGAAAAAAATCCCCGATACTTTTTGCTAAGGCAGTCACAGTATTTATATAATAATGAGGGATATAGATTTTTCATCCAAATTTTTTAAATAGGCATTGTTTTCTAAGCCAGAATCCCATTTCAGGGCTGAATGGAACACGATACTAAATGTGAGCATGCAATCTTAAGCTTAGTAAAGATAGCTATCAACATGTGTACAGAGTTATTTTTATTATGATAGTTTATTGATGGTTACCAGAGATGGGCAGGAAGGAGGGGGAGGAGGACTACTAAGTGCTTAGGGCACCCTGAGCTTCTGTAAAGGATGATGGGGAGTTTGGGGCATCCATGCAGTGAAGGTTGAACAAGACTCACATAGGGCATGCCTCTGAGTGGACATGTGAAGAGGGTTGGAATGAAAACTGTTCTGCTACACATTTATTTCTCAATGAAAAAGTCATGGGAGCCTTTCTTAATATTCCTGAACAAAACAATTCATCATGAAGAGCTACAGAAACCCTGGGTTTGAATACTCCACCTTCTGTGCTTCACGGCATTATGTCTATGAAAGGAGTTTGTCCTCTATGTATGGACATGTGGCCAGAGGGGACTCTTGTTGGGCAAAAAAAGAGATGTGACTCCTAAAAGTATTTAAGAAAAGAGACAGAGGGTGGGGAGGGGCAATCATCCTTAGACATTAGAACTTGAAAGATAATTTGTTTGGATTTATGTTGTTCAGCACATACAAAGTTGAGTGCCGACTGAATGATCTATTAATCATCTGACACCTGTTACATTCTCTGGGTTGTGCAACCACCTCAGCCATGGTTTTAGCCACATCACTGCAGCTGCCCCGTCTCAGAGTTTATCAGACTAAAGTGAGCCTACCTTGTGGAATTCCCTACCACCTGGCCTTACTCAACATGCAGAGTGTGCCTATTGTAACTTCTGCAGCACACAAATTTTTCAAGCTGAAATATTTACTGCTATTTACTATGCATTTATAGTGCTCTTCCAAACAGACGTTGAGATGTTCAAGGACTCCCTGGGCTGCACAAATGGTAAGCGTTTCATGAGGACTGTTTTCCTGGGACCTGCTGGCTTCCTCGGTTTCTAAGAGGAACAGAGGGCAGACCCTGGGTCAGGGCACAGAAGGGGTGACACTTCAGGGGAGCAGAGAAGGGGAACATGAGCCATATCACATAAAGGGCCTTGGGTGTTGTCCAAGGAGTTTTCCATGTAACCTAGTAGGTAATGTGGGACTCTTGGAAGTATCTGAGAATGACCTGGTAAGAGCTTTAGTTCAGGAAGAATTTATCTAGCTACAAGTAAATAACATCAATTGAACAGGGCAAGAGATTTGGGCTCTGTGCAGAATTCATCCCCCTTCGTCTCTATAACCAGTAGAAAGCTTTATACTTTTGTTGTTCTATTTAAATGTAAGGTCACACACCCAATATAAACACAGACAGTGCTAACACCCCAGGCAGACTACTCCAGGCTCTGTCGAATTTACTATCTAAAATCCCAAAGAATCAATAAGCAGACTAATGATAACCCACATTAAGCATTACTGACTAATTTCAATAAAATACATTGCTGAACTGCAACAATGAAGTCTGGGAATTTACTCATTTACCCAAATATGAACAACAAAAAAGAATTCTCCTAGTGGACAATCGTTAATTTCTCAAAAAAATTATGCACCAACTAATTTCTTAA